AGCTTAGGCCTCATTAACTTTGGGGTGAACCGGTTTATGCCTGCAACAGTTGCATTTTTCTAACTTCTTGTTCCAGCAAACTTATGATCACATAAAAGCTGTTATCTTGTATCTGAAATAAATGTTGGGTCAGTGACAGAAACAGTCTGATTTTTATGGTAGCCAGTTCAGTTAGTCTCTCCGCCTGGCAGCCCAGCTGGTGGTTAAGAGGCCTTTAGTGAGCGATACTGACCAGTTGGTCTCTGCTCAGCCATAAATAAACACCGACAGAATAATGACTCATAGAAAGCAAATGGTAATGTTTGTTTGATGGTTTGTTTCATTTTGTTTAAGCTGAATTGGAAGAGCTGGTTCCTATTCATCACCATTCTGACCAGCATTGTGGGCTAGGCAAGTGGGAGCCAGTGACTGATGCCCTCTGGGCCTCAGGTCCTGAAACAGTAAAACGAGGAGCAGAGCTGCACCCTGCTCAAGGCTCCTACAATGGAGGGAAGATTCTGGTGGAATCTTAGTGAAATGTGCTCCAACCACCTCCTCTTCACGGGCCTGAGCCTAAAGAAAAACAATCTACCCTTGCAGCGGCTCCTTCACCATTTGCCCAGAGCAAATAACAAAGCATTGGCAGGCACAATTTTTACTAAAGTTACCTTAAGTGGATGAGAGAAAGCTGGTTGCAGGCATTCTTCCTAGAATGCTCTTCTCTACTAGATATTTCCAAAAGTGACAGTTCTTAGTACAGCTTACTCATTCTGTTCATTCATTCTACGACCATTTATTTTTACCTGCTCTATGACAGTGGACTGGAGAACATAGGAGTGTACAAGGGAAGGGCATTGAAATCAAGAACGTACACACACAGACACCACAGACACACACACACACACACACACACACACACACACACACAATGCAGGGTAAGAAGGGCTGAGCCAGAGTTATGCATAGAGCGAGCCATGAGGACTCATGCATAATCTGGAACTAGAGGTGGGGTACAGGTTTCGCACCAAATGGGGACAATTGAGATTAATCCCCATTCAGTTTTATCTTTCTTCCTAAGTTACCAGGCTGGCATGATCCTTTACAGAGTACTGCGTCTCTATGTCATATGATACCAATCACACACCCCTGCACGGTACTCTACAATCAATGCCCTTCTCTCTCCCAGTATAATATAAGCTGTGGAGGACGGTGGGAGGAATATGACCAGTGTGCCTGTGGAAAGAACACTAATGTTTATCAAATGTTTATTTTAAGTTAATTTACATACTCTGTTTTATTTAAATCATTTTTAAAAAAACTCAATGAGGAAGATAATATCCACATTTCACAGATAGGAAAACTGAGGCTTAAAAAAAGTTTAGGGAATTTGTCCAGGCTCATGTACCTAGCAATGGTAGAGTGAGGATTTGAGACTGGTCCTTTCTGATCACAAAGCCAATATACTTTCTAGGTATCAGACTTACTCCTTTTTCTTTTACCCCATAGTAAATGGGACACTTAATTACTATTTGTTAATAAGGGAATCTTTCTACTGAAACATCTGTCTCACTGGGCCTTTCTTCTCGGGCCTTGTTTAAATTAGTAACAAAGAAACCTACCACAGCTGGTTTCTCCTGATAGAGACATCCATCAGTTCAGGATGAGGATGTAAACTACTTTGGCAGAAGTCATTAAATAATGATTGCTTGGAAACAACTCTGACCTACCCACATGAAAAAAGAATATTACCCTCCAGAATATTATTTCATGAAGGGTGCTGGGAAACCTATGCTCCGTACCTTCAGTTCTTAAGAAAAAAAGCAAACCAATGAAAAGACGGGGCGGGGGGCGGGGGACAGATCATGATTACTGGAAGTGTTTTTTTTTTTACCACACAAACTGATTTCTGCATTGATTGGCAGATATGTGATTTCATTTGGCCGGTTGCGGTCATACCAAAAGCAAATTTTCTTTTTTACCAAATTCTATTATATTTCCTATTACTGGGGCTTTGGAAAATATTACCTAGTATTTCCCATTTAGTGTTCTTAGAAGAGAATCATCTATCTTCTGTTCTAAGAAAAAGTAACTAGATATATTTTTAGTTAGTATTAATATTCTAGCCACTAAGTTTATGTGGCTATTGTATAAATAATATAAAAGAGGTTGTTGAGAATTTTATAAAAAACACTTGGCCACATGACATATATATTGTTCACACCATAGTGATTAGACTAGCCCAGTGAAATTAAGCTGATTTAGGTTTTTGTGTCTGTGCACAAAAATTCAGCAGTTCTGTCTTCTGATGCTCTTTCCAAACTCTTAGCCCCAGAAGTATCCAACTTTGTATGAAATACTTGAAATAATAATCACACTTTTGTTAACATAAGTTAATAATCAGACTTTTATTGGACTCCAACTCATTTTTTAAAAACTGAAATCCTTAGCACACTCTAAGAGACAATTCAAAATTCCTCCTCAAGTGATTCAACAGAAAGCTAACATAGGCTGATAAATAAAGATTGTTCTAACAAAATAGTGGAGCTGCTGGCCATGGCTAGCAGAGCAGCAACAGCAGCCCACTGGGAAGATGAATTGAAACAGTCAGCTGAGGGGTGAGGATGCCACCCCAGCAATAACTTGGAGAGAAAAGAGGTAGCTATTTCCTATTACTTCCTGTAAAGGTAAACAGAACTTTTAAAACTCCAGCTCCAGCATACATTAATACTTGCCCAGATTTGGTGAAAGCAGGATTACCCCATTTTGGGTTTTGTTTTTTCAGGTGTGGACATTTTTATTATTTCCTTTCGTCTTTCTTTTCTTTTCTTTCTCTTTCTCTTTCTTTTTTTCTCTCACTCTTGCCCAGGCTGGAGTGCAATGGAAAGACCTTGGCTTACTGCAGCCTCTGCCTTCTGGGTTCAAGCAATTGTCCTGCCTCAGCCTCCCAAGTAATTGGGATTACAGATACCCACCACTATGCCCAGCTATTTGTATTTTTAGTAGAGATGGGGTTTCGCCATGTTGGCCAGGCTGGTCTTGAACTCCTGGTCTCAGGTGATCCACCCACCTCAGCCTCCCAAAGTGCTGGGGTTACAGGCATGAGCCACCATGCCTGGCCTAGTTACCTTCTTTAGTGAACCCCAGAATCATAGAGTTCATGTATCTCTACAAACACACTTCAGAGTTTGTGTTAGTCCATTTGTGTCACTGTAAAGGAATACCTAATTTAAATAATTTATAAAGAAAAAAGATTTAATTGGCTCACAGTTCTGCAGGCTGAACAAGCATGGCACCAGCATCTGCTCCTGGTGAAGGCCCTTGGACGTTTTAAATTTCTCATAGCCCCATTTTCTCAATTGTTAGTGGGAATTAAAATGCCTGCTTCCAAGATAAAGTGTTAAGTAGTATCTGAAAACCATGACACAATGCCTGGCACACCAGTGAAGTACAATAATGTTAACTCCCTCTCGTTAATTATGGTACCAAAACTACCAGAGAAGAGGAAGGGTTTACCAATGGAAACACGGTGGATTCATAGTATAGATCTTGAAGATTCTGAGTTGGAAAAGCTGGCTCACAAAGGAAAACTTTATAACCAAGCTTTGCCAGGAAATATCAGGCCTTCCCAGAGCACCAAGAGTTTACCTGAATTCTAGCTATTCATGAGAGAAACACAACCAAGTAGCTGGGATGCAATTGGAAACACCAAGACAGAAACACACATGCAGTAAGATTCAGACCTCGAGCATGAATAAGATCTGGCTGCCTTTGTCAAGACTAGATAAGGGCTTGGGGATTGAGGAACCCCTTTGTCCCAAATTATTATAAAGATCTTACTCCTCATCAAATAGAATTCTTTGGCAAAGTCTGAACTTCAAAACATGTTGAAAATATGACCACCAATTATCTTCCAGGGAAAAATATCTGGAAAAACTTTACCACACAGGGGAAGGTAACATGATTCTCAAAACAACTCTTTAGAAAAAGGTTTAACTTTTAGTCAAAACTTCCTAGTTCTTAAAATTTTATTTGCCCATTATATTTTATTATCTGTAAGACAAGGTTTATTTCATTCTGAGCCTACTATCTATTAATGACTTGATTCTAAGCTCTGAACGATTTCTAATCTACTTCTCTTTATGGTATCAAATGAAAATGTGTGAATAATAAAAAATAGAAATCAATCATTTAAGTTAAAAATACTTACTACAATCTTCTTTCATTGCTTTTAAACTTTAGCATTCTTTTAAAATAGAAGTAAAATGCTAAATACCTGAAGACATCCATAGCAGTTTTATCTATTATAATACAACCGCCATCACCACCACCACCACCAACAAAAACCTAGAAACAATTTCAATATCTGTTACGAATTGAATCACCTGACCCCAAAAAAAGATATGTTGATGTCCTCACTCCCTGTACCTCAGAATGTGGTCTTATTTAGAAGAGGGTCTTTGCTGATGTAGTCAAGATGAAAGGTCTTTAGGGCAAGTCTAAATCCACTATAACTGCTTTCCTTAGAAAAAGGGGTAATTAGGCGCAGGCTGACAACTGTCATTTCAGCACTTTGGGAAGCCAAGGCAGGAGTATCACTTGGGGTCAGGAGTTTAATGCCAGTCTGAGCAATAAAGTGAGACTTCCGTCTCTACTAAACATAAAAGTAATTGACCAGGCGTGGTGGAACGCTCCTGTAGTCCCAGCTACTTGGGAGGCTGAGGTGGGAGAATCATTTGAGTCAGGGAGGTCAAGGCTGCAGTGAGCAGTGATCACATCCCTGCACTCCAGCCTGGGCAACAGAGAGAGACTCTGTCTCTAAAAAAATAAATATATTTTTGCCCCCACTGGCTGCTCTGAAAAGCCATCTTTGCATTGTTCCCCGTCGGACTCTTTGCTCGCCACAGCCGCCTCCGCCCCGCGCCTCCTTCGCCATCGCGGACTCCGGCAGCTTCATCGCCAGAGTCCTTGAACTCTGGCTTTTTTTTTAAATCCCCCGCATCGGATCACCGGCGTGTCCCACCATGTCAGACTCAGCAGTAGACACCAGCTCCGAAATCACCACCAAGGACTTGAAGGAGAAGAAGGAAGTTGTGGAAGAGGCGGAAAAGGGAAGAGACGCTCCTGGTAACGGGAATGTGGATGAGGAAAATGGGGAGCAGGAGGCTGACAATGAGGTCGATGAAGAAGAGGAAGAAGGTGATGGTGAGGAGGAGGATGGAGATGAAGATGAGGAAGCCGAGTCTGCTACAGGCAAGCGGGCAGCTGAAGATGATGAGGATGATGATGTCAATACCGAGAAGCAGAAGACAGACGAGGATGATCAGACAGCAAAAAAGGAAAAGTTAAACTAAAAAACAAAGCAAAACAAAACAAAACAAAGGCCGCCGTGACCTATTCACCCTCCACTTCCCGTCTCAGAATCTAAACGTGGTCACCTTCGAGTAGAGAGGCCGCCCGCCCGCCGCGGGCACTGCCACCCGCACATGACACGACGCGCTCTCCACTACCCAACCCAAACCATGAGAATTTGCAACAGGGGAGGAGAAAAGAGCCAAAACTTCCAAGGCCCTGCTTTTTTTCTTAAAAGCACTTTAAAAAGGAAATTTGTTTGTATTTTTTATTTACATTTTATATTTTTGTACCTATTGGTACAAAATTAGGGTCAGCCATTTTTAATGATCTCGGATGACCAAACCAGCCTTCGGAGCGTTCTCTGTCCTACTTCTGACTTGACTTGTGGTGTGACCATGTTCATTATAATCTCAAAGGAGAAAAAAAACCTTGTAAAAAAAAAAAAAGCGAAAACGACAACAGAAAAACCATCGTATTCCGAGCATTCCAGTACCTTTGTTGTGTATGTACTTAGCTGTACTATAAGTAGTTGGTTTGTATGAGATGGTTAAAAGGCCAAAGATTAAAAGGTTTCCTTTTTTTCCTTTTTTGTCTATGAAGTTGCTGTTTATTTATTTATTTATTTATTTATTTTTTGGCCTGTTTGATGTATGTGTGAAACAATGTTGTCCAACAATAAACAGGAATTTTATTTTGCTGAGTTGTTCTAACAAAAAATAAAAATAAAAATAAAAAAAATTTTTAAAAATAAATAAATAAATAAATATATTTTTTAAAAACTTCAGAGGATGGAGGATGGGATTTGGACATGACATAGACATGCACAAAAAGAAGATGAGACACAGGGAGAATATGAGGCAAAAACTGAGGATTGAAGTGATGCGTCTTTGTCCAAGGAATGCCAAAGATTGCTGGCAAACCACCAGAAGCTAGGAAGAGGCATGCTCCCCATAGAGGTTTCAGGGGGAGCATGGCTCTGCCGCTACCTTGACTTTGTACTTCTAGTATCCAGAACTGTGAGATAATGTATTTCTGTGTGTTTAAGTCACCCAGTTTGTGGTACCTTGTTACAGCAACTCTAGCAAAGACATACTATGTCCAACAAGAGAGAGATACTTAATTGAATTATGAAAGGTCAAACTAATGAAATATTTTATAACCACTATAAATGATAATTTTAAATGAATTTGTGGAAACTTGGATATTTATTAGAGTATAAGGGTATATATTACAAGTGATGAAAGAACATATTTACAGAATCATATATACTCTGAATATAATAATAGAAGCATTTCCATTAGTAGTATAATATATTGCAAATGTTAAAAACATGAATTTCTATTTCCCACTTGGGATCATGGCTGCTTCTGCCTTTGACTTCCAGGCTAAAGCAATAGGGTTATTGCCCCAGGGAAGGTACACAGGTAAGTACTGCAGTGGAATGTGTAGTCAGAACAAAGAGGCAATGAATTAACTTTGAATCTCAGAACCAATTTTCTTTTTTTCTTTCATAAAACATTGGTCTTGAAAGCAAGACTTGCTTGAGGGAGAGAGGAGTGTCTAAATAACAAAGTGCCCTTGTTAAAATACCTAAGATGAGGCTCGCCAGCTAGATCATGATTTTAATTGAGGAAGACTCCTATCCAATAAGAAGGGATGAGGGGATGCTTGTTGGCTGGTGGGAAGGAAGGCTTTGGCCCCCTCATCTTTAGATTCTGGAAGAAAGGTGGCCTACACCCAGCTGGAGGTTACCAATCCCAGTAAACACTGCAGTACAGAATGAGCTGTGAATGTAAAGGCTTTTGTGGGCCACCCTGGATTCTGCATGGCTTGGCTAGGACCCAGAGGTGCTTTCATGCCTCAAGGGCAGACACAGATGGCAACTGAGTTAAGAGAGAGCCTGGGGACCCACCAGGTGATGAACAAAGTGGAAAGACCCAGCCAGGGCAAATGGAGCATGTGGCACAGACTCAAAGAGCCTGTAGCACCAGTGGGAGATGAGATGAGGGATGCCAAGTCCCTGGGAGAAACCTCCAGCCTTTCCCAAGCAGACTAAAGATGACACTAGCAGCAGGTCTCAGCCTCAACTGCTAGCCAATACCCAGCATGGAACTGGTCTCACCCCAGCAGTCACCCTTCCAGGAAGCCACCAGACCAACACTTTCAGAACAGGAATCAATACAGGTCCCAAGGAAATCTCTAAAGATTCAAGGACCCTTACCCACTTCCACCTCATATTCCCAGGTCCTGCTAAGAGAGAAGCAGGGCAGGGAAGGTGTGAGTCAGAACCCATTTTATCTAAAGCATGTGAGCTTCTATAAAGACTGTTTAAGTGACTGCAATAGACTAAATTTGCCAGTGAGCGTAAATCTAGTGGTTAACATTTCTCCCCCGACTACCAGAATACAGATGGGGATTTCTGAGGAAGATCAAGTTGGTTTTATATAAACAAAAAACTATGTGTTTCACACAGCTAAGTATATTATGAGAAAATCTGTGACCTTACAACATGGTATGTAGACAAAGATTAAAAGGAAATATCCAAAATGAAAAAAATTTATATTTTTAATTTTTTACATTGTTTAAAAATAATCTTGCCTAGTTCCTGTCTCTAAAGAAGGTGTTATGGTTGCTACATAACAGCATATTTACAAGATTATCCAAATTACTACAAGTAAACATCTTCCCAGCCAAGGCCTGGTTCCCATATAAAAGCATCAATAAAGTTAAAAATGAAAAAAATCTATTCCTTTTTACCCCATAATTTATCTAGTTTTCTGGAATAAGTGAAAATAAACAAAAGAATAGAGAAATATAAATGGTTCAGACCTTCACCACATCATTCATTCCCATTTAGCTGCTGATAATCTGCAGAAGTCATTTGTGAACATCAGTCTTTCTCAGCCACTCAGAGCTAAACGTGCTCAAGGGGGTCTGCAGAGCCACCACCCAGGTCCTGCCCCACATCTATGAGCACTTTTCCCTTCACACTTTCCAGAGCTCCACGTGGTATGTCCCCAAAGTAATTCAAAACTTAATATGAAAGAACTGTCTGCATGGTTTGGTTTTCTTCTCTCACATTTAGAAGACCAGCTGCCCCATACGGTTTGCCTGAGAACAGGGTCAATCTCATGATGCAGAGTGCCCGAGGCATGTGGTTTGAAAGGTGCAATGACAGGTCTTCCTTTCAAGAACATCTGCTCCCTTTGCAGGAAGGTGCCAGGAGCCCCAGCATCAGGGACTCACTCCATTGGCCCTCAAAATGCCTTCGCTTTCTAGAATTGCCTCATAAAATGCACTTAACAGCTGGCAGAAATAACACTTTCCACTTTTGACAGCTATCACTCACCCAGGATTCACCAACCAGCTACCTACAAGGCCCAAGATGACCAGAGCCACAGTAAGTACCAGAAAGAAAGAGTCACCAAGTAGGCGTGTGAGAGTAGGAGAAAGAAATCTGGGAGTGATTACTTCACTCTCCACCACTAATTGTAAGAACAATAGTTACCATTTTAAATGGCCACTGTGTGCTTGGCACTTTGAAACTGTCTCATCTAATTCTCATAGCAATCCTTTAAAGTGAGTATTGCTATCTCCAGTTTACAGGTGATTAAAATGAGGTTCAGAGAGCTTAGGTAATTTGCTCAAGGTCTTGCAAATTGTGGAGCTGAGTTGAAAGTTAAGCCTGCAAGCCTACTGACTCTAAAACCCACACTGTCTCCCATATTGCATCTGTCTGCATGCATGTGTATGCACATACAGGTTCACAGGCACTACTGGACACTACTGGTAGAAGATAATTTGAGGCTATTTGTAAAAAGCACTAAAAATAATGACTCCAGCCCTTCTACTTTCTGAATTGTAGGAAGTTATCTTAAGAAACAAATAATAAACATGCACAAAGGTTTCACTATAAGGTTATTCACTGAGATATTTAGCTAGAAGGCAAAGTAACATTCAATGCTGGGGAATTAGTTTTAAAACAGTGTATTATTTCCATACAATAAAATATAATGAACCATTAAAATGGTGTGGAAGGAAATGGAATGACATGAAAGAAGAGTTCATAATATGCTGCCAAGCTGCTGGTTGGTTGGTTTTCAACATGTGTGGTGGTTACTATTGCCACATAACAAATTACCCCAGTTACTCTATTTTGTTTTTCTAAAAAATGTGTAAGTCAGAAGTTTAAAAGGTCTCATCTGGAAAGTTCTTACATGAGGTTCCGCAAGTAATTACAGTAAGATGAAAGCTAGGGTTACAGTCATCAAAGGCCCTTCTGGGCTGAATACCCCAGATAGCTGTCAGTTGAGAGTTGGAGTCTAAGTTGCTGACTGCAGTGCCTACACATGGCCTCTTCATAAAGCTTGAGCTTCCTTACAGCATGGTGGCTTCAGGAAGTTTAACCTGAATGGTGGCTCCAGGCTACTGCACAAGTGTTAGGAAGAACAAGGTGGAAGCTAAACCACATTTTCTGACCTAGCCTGGGAAGTCTCATAGAGTCACTTTGGTCACATTCTACTGGTTACAAGCAAGCCGCAAACCTGCCAATACAAGGCAAGAGAACAATGAAAGGAGTGTCAACAAGTTTGCGATCACAGCATGTTACTAAATAATTTATCTCATATAGCTGCATTTTTTTAAGTAGACATGTCACTAGGAACAGAAATAATTACAAGGACACAAGTAAAATACTGAATGATTTTCTCTGAAATTTGGATGAGTTTTATTTTCCCTTTTTATTTGAAAATTTTACACTGAAAATTTATTAATTTTGTGATCAGAAACAAATCAAATAAAAATATTTAACTTTTAAAATTTGGAAAAGACACAAACGATATTTTACCTTCATATCCTATGCTAGCTAGGCACTTTTCCCCATATAACTATCTTGCAAAATCATCATGGAGCAATCTATCACACCCTCAGGTACAAATTACACATGAATTCATTCTTATTTTCTATCATATTTATGTCAATAAATCTCCTCAATGTCTTA